GACAGGATAAAAAGCTACACTGCATTTTCCTCTCAGCTCTTTTGGGAAGAGAGTCCCACTGCAGTCCTACACATCTCCTAGAAGTAAACTTACTCCGAATGCAATGGATCTTATCCCCAGGTTAAGTACAGGCAGGATGGTGGCCTCACACATCCAGATCAAAGATGGACAGTCCTTTTCCCAAGCAGGAAGACAGTAACACAGAGGCACTGCATGTACTATAAAGCCTGTACCCTTAGAAGGAAACCATGGATCTGAGTTTGGAAAACCTGAGCAAGGCAACTAATTATAGGATTTTTTTGGAGGTCACAACTTGAGGGCACTCAACATGGACCATCGCCCTCGGATCCATCCATGCAGATACAAAAGATACATAATATTAAGGCAAAGCAGTTTGAAAATAAACAATATTTATTCAGTGTTGAGTCTTTGTATACAATATCAGTTATCACCAATAAAGTTTTATGAAACATTGGTTATACATCAGTTTCTAAGTTGATAACAATACTGTGACATTGCAATTTGGCACAGACACCTTCCAAATGTTTACTTTCCAATATGTACACAGCTGCATTTCAAGGAGATTTGTTTGTTTCCCTTGCAGCTATTTTTCCCCACTCCAGCAAATAAACTATTAAAAAGTAAAAAGAAATAACGTCTCCGCTTGTCTTCTCTTGCACTTGGAAAGATACTTTTAGAAGGTAATAAGTTACAGTAATAGTTCCAACTCTAAAGTATTTATTAACTGTTGTGGTTCTAGTTTTTCAAAAGTATTTTCCCCCTAAAATGTAACTAAATGTTACCTTTGGTCACTTTAAGACATCTGAGTGCTACAACCTGCAGGCCTTAGTACAAAACCCACTCTCCTGTGCCCACCCGAACACCCACAATGGAGCACAAGGATGAAACGTAAGCCAGCATTTGAACCATATAAAACTTACAGCTTCAATTTCTTCCTCCTCTTCGTCAATGGTAGAGACAGTGACCGAACTGAATTTGCCCATGTCCTTGGTCCGTTTAGTCATCATCACCTTGGAAACAAAGAGGTTTGTTATTGAAATTTTGCACATCATATGTTAGAAGTTAAATAACACAGAAGGAATTCTGCTTTACAGCTCCAGACTTTTCTGAAGTATAACACAAGAAAAAAACCCAAAAGAATTTCGCTCTGGTGGGTCTGCTCTACACACATCTGACATCTGTATGCCAATGTCCAGATCTTTCAATACAGAAAAAAATGGTTTTGTCAATATATTTGAACATGCAAATAATGGTTCGAGATTGCTTGCAAACCAGGGCAGGGAACCCTGCTTGCAAAGCAGACAAGACAACTGCAAAACAGAATGGCAAAACCACCACTTAACACATTCAAAGAACTGAAGTACAGAAGGAAGGGCAGAAGAAGATGAGAACCCTTCTCAAAACTTGTTCTGGTAACATCCACGCCATGGTTTCGTACAAAAAGCTGCATTTCTTGCTTGGGGCTCAGAAAACCTACTTTTTTGGACTACTGTTCTCAAAACTCCCTAGCTAGCTTGGCTGTGTACGAATCTGCCCAGGGGAATTCCAGAGCTGTTTCCCCCAAAAAGTAAAATGTACACCTCCTACAATGCTCGTCCATTGGACATGTTAGCTGGGTCCGTTGGGAGCTGTAGTCCATGAACACCTGGAGGCATCATCCTGCCTAACCCTGCTCCAGAAAAGATGCAGAGCCAATCAGATGCCACCAGGAAGTAGGACATCAAGGTAACCGCTCTCCCTTAGCCCTTGTTCCCCAGGAATCCATACTGACACTTTGACTGCACCCTCCCTAGCCCCCCCCAACACAGAAAAAAAGCTATGATGATCAAATCTGTCTCTGTACCTTCTTAGGTGGCTCTTGCTTCTGGGTGTAGATGTTTGTTTTGCCAAAGCCTTGTCCAAATTTGACCACAGCACCATCAACAATAAATGTTACCGGGGCATTCTTTTGCTGGTGTTGGTAAAAGAGAAGCAATCCGCACCTGGGGAGGAAAATCTAATTCAGAATCTTATCTGGAACTCTAACCATTGCACAAGATTGCATCTCATGAACTCACTAAGCAGCATGAGGCAGTATCGGTAGACTTAAATGGTGAGTTACATGACTACAGTACCAACTATGATCATAATCTCTGAGGAATAACTCAGAGCTAACACCTGGTTCAAGGTCACCACTGAATGTTGTGGTTAAATGGAAATTCAAACCAAGCTCTTCCCAATCATCTCTTCATGCCCAATGACACTATATATAATGGTAGGCAACATCTCAGCCTGTAGAATAAAACTGAGGAATAACTCAGAGCTAACACCTGGTTCAAGATCACCACTGAATGCTGTGGTTAATGAAAATTCAAACCAAGCTCTTCCTAATCATCTCTTCATGCCCAATGACACCATATATAATGGTAGGCAACATCTCAGCCTTTCTTTGATTTCTATCTTAGTTTAGGTGCAATGTTTTTAAAATTGCATTGTTCTTTTTTTATTGTAAGCCGCCTTGAGTGGGCTAATATGTCCAGATAGGCGGGACAGAAATAAAATAAAATAAAATAGAATAAAATATGGGTGTTATTTGGTAAAATAACTCAAATGAGTTCAGCTAATTATTTTCCAATCTCTTTCAGGGCTATTTAAAAATTTCTACAATAGCAGTGTGTATGTAAGATCCCATTGCTTGCCACTGCATGAAATTTGGAAATGGTTCGACAACAATTTCTATAAAAGCTATTAAACTGCTAGTATGTATAAGACAACCATGAAAATGGTTGCAACTCAGGGGATGTGTTCACTTTGTATCTTACCAATGTATTATTCCTGTTACTACTATATTTTAACACTTGGATGTTTACTTACAGCCTTTGTTTATCACCCTGCTACGCTGCAGGGCTCCCACAGCCATATCCAACACATTAAAATTATTAGAAACAAATTAAAAACAAAATTTAAAATTATTTATAAAAACCAGTTTTTTAAAAATAATCGACACCCCTCGAAGTCATAAAGTAATAACTTAGCCTCTTGTAGCAAATAAAACTCATTCTTTTTCAGTTTCAGAATATCTCTCCTTTTAGACTGAGTTTCATTTAATGATTCCAGTCTTTCCCCTCTGACTACATACCACATCATGCTGGCTCCTGTGGATTGTTGATTCTGCAACCACAATCTCAAGGAACTAGCCATTCTGAAAATAATGCACTTTCAAGTACTGAAAATACTCACTTTCCACACTTTTTCCTGTATTGGCGCTCAATTCCTTCTGGCCTGATGGGGAGGGGAAAACAAAAGACATCAATCACATAACACTTACGAAGGAATGAACCTCAAGAAGCAGCAGAAAGCATGCACGTATATATTTCCATTTCTATATCGCCCCATTAGAAATATATATACAGTATATATCCCACTCTCTGGGAGGTTTACAACATGCAATAAAAACATAACAACTCTATCTAATAGGTACAATAAAATACAATTAAACCCTGTCACTAGCTGAGGCTACTTTTAAATAAAAATTCACAAATTAAAGCCCATTTGAACATCTCAGGACAACTAGTAAATGTGTAACAATTGTGATCAACAATTAACCAGTAAACAACAACAAGTATTCACAGAATTGTATACACATTAGCTAGTGGCAACTTTCATGAGCTCTTAAGAATAGAGCAGCATTCTCTAATGTCAGGACCTCCAAATGTGTTTGGACTCCCATCAACCCAGCTAACGTGGCCAAATGCACTGGGATAATGGAAGCGTAAGTTCAATGTATCTAGAGGGGTCTGGAATGAGAAGGGACGCTATAGGATAAGCATGGAGAAACCTTTGTCAACCTGAAAGCCAAAATATAATTCCAGAGGAGATCTTGAGGCCCCACTAAAACCTCAGCATATTTTGACTGCCACTAACTAAACCTACAGCTTTTTGTTGTTGCTGTTGTTTTGATTCATATACCATTCCATAGTGCTAGAGGACTCTCTGGGTGGTTTACAACATAACTATGCAAGGAACACTTTGCCACCTAGCAAGCTGGGTACTCAGAAGGAAGGCTGAGTCAGCTTTGAGTGGGGGCTACCTGAATCCATTGGTCCTGAACTCAGGTTGTGAGCAGAGACTGAACAGCAGCCAGTGTTAAATAGTACTGCAGTTTAACCACTGCATCACGAGACTCACTCCTGCCATGATGTATGTTTTCGTCGTAACCAATGTAAAGTATTCAGACATATTCCCACCTGCGGAGATAGACATTTTCCTCTTCCTCTGTGTTACAGAATTTGTGGGCATGTTTGGCTGCATCAATCACTCGGGCCCTGTCGCGAGGCCTCATGGGCAGTTTTTCCAACTGACAGTCTTCAGGAGGCAAAAAGTAAGAAATACAAACAAATAAAGTATTAGGAAGCAGAATTAATCTTGTAGGCATTTTTGTTTACTGTGTCTGGACAACATTTTGGCCAGTGGACAGTGCACACTTGTAATGCAATGGTCATGTTTTTGTTTTTTTGCTGGAGATAGTTCAACTTTTGTATCTCCAGCTGTATTAAACATGAATATGGTTAAGGTGCTCCCTTTACCGTACTTTCTGCTGTATTATTCCATCAGAATAGGTGCATTCTATTGTTTTTTACACTTTGCAGCTGCAAGTTATCAGGGTTTGTACGGTGGAACCATTTTGATATAAAAGACATTGAGCTCTCAACAGCATATTGTAAAGTAAGTCTTTTCTGATTCACTTTTACTCACAGATGGGAAAGAATAACTGACTCAGTCATGGTTCTCTTAACTGTGAAATGGGTATCCTAAAAGGGCACTCACCCTACAGGGGTGTGATGAACATGAAACCAACGTGCTCATTACACAAAAGGACACCACTAACTTTTCCCGCACACTGAGGGGGGAAATCCTCCTTCTCTGCAAGACTGATTTCTGATATATCCTACGAAGACTACAAATCTTGGGGAGGCGGGGGGGGAGAGGCATTAGAGGCACATGTTCCCGACCTACTCTTTTGATTTAGATTCCTACACAATTACAGTTCTACATCCAGTGCTTGTTTCAGATCATAACTCAGAGAATCCCTTGTTAGCACCATGCAAACAGGGGAATTCCGGGACCCATGCTGCCTGAGGTCTAAACCACAGGACTCGGAGTATCCAACATGCTTCCTGCCCTAGAATTTGGGCAATCAGGAGGTGATGTGACAGTGACTACTCACACAGCAGCCTCCCTCCAGCGTCCTCTGTAAGCAAGACAGGAGTTGTAGGCTAATTAAGGGCCTGACTACTTGTCTCTCTGCTAATGTGATCTGTGCCATCCCTCGCCAACAATGGCCTTCTGCACTTTGCGTGAGTCACACTGACCCAGCTTCATGCAACAGGATCAATAGATGTACATTTGACGTCAGGAAAGTCAACACACAAAAAACTGTATCAGAACATTTCAACTTACTTGGACGTTGAC